CATATGGAGATGGAGATGCGTGTGGAGGTGCAGGGGGACATTGGGAGAAGGCACTAAGAGAGGACATGGAGTACAGGAGGAGTATGGTGGAGCTGGAAGAGACCACTCAGAATTAAATCCAGACTCTCTAACCCATGAGCACAACTAATTATGTAAAGTAGTGAAGTGGAAATAGGAAACTTCTATAATCAATCCTTGCTTTCACTGTTGGCAAAACACTTCATGTCTTTGGGTCTCCAAATTTTTATGTGCCAAACAAGGAGAGTAGAGCAGACACTTGAAAAGTGCCTTTGGGGTTCTCTTTATATTCTCTTTAAAACTATGTGCTGGGTTTACTGCTTAAATCCTATCAGCAGGTAATCTGGAAATTTACATAATTGGCCACAAGGGGGAGAGCTCTAATTCTACATTAAGTCAGTTTCTACAATATGAAATAATCTTAGAGTTGGTGATAGGCTGTCTCATTTCTACTTCCTTGTGGAAGCTGGGGGAATTCTGCTTGAGATAAGTTTAACTGAATTCAAATGTGGTTTTGTGTCACTAAGTTATGATAAAGTCACTGAATGTAAAAATCTATTTGCAATAAGCAATAACTTTCTATGAAGGAATCCAGATGCCTCTTTAAATAAAATGAAGACAGTAAAATTTTTAAATTGACCCTGGGAGGATTTTTCCCTCCAAATAACATTATTTTAGTTAACTTTATGAAAACTATAACCTTCCTGAAAACCCTTGGTCACTCTGAAACAAACATAAGAGCATGTCAATCTACTGTGAAGATATCCATATCAAAATAAAAGAATTAGAATGGCACTGGCCACACCAATTTAAATGTTACATGTTCACTGCATATGTATATGTTGTATAACTATGTTCATTGGGATAAGAGCATTGAATGGTATATGTTCAGTATTAAAATACTCTGTACTCTAATTCTATGGAAAGTTTTATTCTAAGGAAACTATAACTCTCATTGGATTGAGAATTACCTTAGGAGCCTTTCTAAGATTTAATAAGTCACATTTTTTGACTTGATCAAATTAAATTACATTCGTAAGGTCTGAATATAATATTTCTGCATTTTAACAAATATACCCAAACATACACTACATGCCTTCCCTTTTAAAGACATGATATTAGTGAGCTGTATAGGAACCTCAATAATGCAGTGGTTACTGAAAACATATTTGTGTTCCCCCATAGAGACAGTGTCACATTCTTTTAATATATTTTATGACAGCAGATCTTCCTTTGAGAGTGAATGAAATATTTTAAAAACCTCAACAAATGTTTTTATGAATGGAGGCTGAATATTAAGGTCACCAGTCAAATCGGAGAATATATTATTTGGGAATAAAAAAAAATAGATGTAGCTAAAATATTTAAATTCTCTTTGATTTATAAACCTTTTTAATTCATCTGTCATAAAAGTCATAAAATGTTTTTAGCACTGATGTTGTAGCTGAAATAAATATAAACCCCCCTAACGTGATTACTAGGAAGAGTAACTTTCATTTGAATAAATTCATTCTCGTGTGCTCACTAGAGTAGATAAATAACTGTATAAATAGTTTAATTTATTTAGTCACTTTTCGCTTCTTTTCCAGTTATTTTCACAACTGACATTTCAAGAATCCTTTAAATGTAAATTAACAGTATACTAAGTAAATCAGTAATATTATTGAGATATTTTCTATAACTTCCTCCAAAAATGATTCAGATTTTTAATGTTTCTCTTTAGCTGACTGAATTACTTTTCAATCAATACTTTTCATATCAGAAAGTCTTATAGACCAATAAAAGATCTATGCTAGGCAGTGTGCTAGGTCTATATCAGGAAGATATACACCTTACTGCTGCTTGGTATACTCAGTGACAAGCACGGTGCTTGGCCCCCTAGTAAATATTTACCAGTAGATATTTAATAAACATTAGTAACATAGATGAATGAAAAATAAATGATATGAAATGATATGTACGTATATCATGTATACGTTGTTTTCATGTAGCTTTTTAAAAATCTTCCTCTCAATCCCTCCCTCCCTCTCTCTCTCTCTCTTTTTGCATATTAGAAAAGTAATATTTAACAGAGGAACATTTGCCAAACTCCAGAAGTGAAAAGAAGAAAGAATAATATCTAATGTTGCCTAGAAGAAAACACTATTAATATTTTGGCATATTTCCCTCCATCGTATTTTCTTTGTAAACGTAGACATTTTGCTTGTTTTTAAACAAAACAATGGGATCATTCTGAACATACTGTTTTATAGTATGGTCAGCTATTATAGATCAAACTTTTCTTCATGTTATTAAATAATCTGCAACACTGTAAAAATGGCCATCGACAGTCCACCATGTAGATAATGCTGAGTTGCTTGGTGGTTATGTCTTAAAAAAAAAACAATGACTTTTTACTACAAAAGTAATAGATGTCCATTGTAGAATATGTAACACAAATTGTTAAGCTAAAAAGAGATTTTAAAAGTCCTATAATTAAAATAATAAATAAATAAAGTCCTGTAATTCCACCAACCAAAAAAAAAATATATATAGGATATAAAATTATTCCTACTACATATTCCTACTACATATATATTATTGTTCCAGACTATTATAATCACCCACCCAAAACGTAATGGTTTAAATTTTACAACAGTCATTTATCTTGTTCACAGACCTGCAATTTGGACAGGGCTCAGTGGGAACACGCCATCGCTATCACTCCACACAGTGTCAGTTGGGCTGGCTTGAAATCCAGGGTTGACTGGAAGCCTAGAGTCTGGAATCACCTGAAGGTTCACTCACTCACGTGTCTAGGGGTGAAACTGGCTATTGGCCGGGACCTTGACTGGGGATGTCCTCTGGAAAACCACTTGGATTGCTCACAGCATATTTTTAGAAAGTTCCAAGAGCTAGCATTGAGATGATCATGGTAAAATACATAGCATTTTTAGGATCGAGCTTTGGGGGTCACATGAGATCACTTCTGTTGTAGTCTGTTGGTTAAGGCAATTGCGAAAGTCTCCTTTATTTTGAGGGGAGGGGGTTTAGAAGCCAACTGTGACATGCAGGAATGTTAAGGTCACATTGTAAGAAGAGCACGTGGGATGTGATATAGTGCCATCGCCATTTTTTGGAAAATATGCCGTACTTATATATATATAAATATATAGTTTTACTTGTAAACTCCACTTTTATTGCACTTCCCAACCTCTCCTTACATTCAGGAGTCTTTTCTCTAAGGCATTTTTTTTTTCTTTTTGCCTGGAAAGCATTTACTTTTACTTCCACTCATTTTGTTGCTGAATATTTATCCTCAGTAGATGGGTGCCTTTGCCTATTTCTCATTTCAGAGTAAATAGTACAATCCTGATGAATACTAAGTGTTTAATATTTACTAAATTGATAAAATATTTGTAAGTTACATACTCTTTCTTGACCAGAAGAGTTACTTCATGTTTTATCTCAAATATACTCTTTCTGTTACTAAATTTAAATGAACAGAACTTCAAATTCAGCTAAGAGTGAAAAATGCCATTCTCTATCTAGATCTATAATACAAAATTTAAAAATAGAAGCACTCTTTCCTGAAATCGGATTTTGACATGAAACAAGTGATGACAAATTATCTGCACATGACAAATTTGGGTTGTATACTGGGATTGCTTTTTTTCCCCTAAAGAGACTGCACATCAAATAATAAAGTAAAATGATACACAGTATTTCTTCTACTAAATCTGTTTCATGAGATATTGCAATAGTTTTGGATATCACTGAAGTCATCAAGGTAGTAATGCCACTTAATAGTTTGAACAAACTATTCAATTTTAAATGATGCATAAGAGCATTGATCCTAGGTGAAGAAAAAGATAGAGCAACTTAAAATAGGTCATACAGAAGTTGCATATCATTATTTGCTTCATAGGAAGTAAATTGAAAAAACATAACTGGGACGCCTGGGTGGCTCAGTGGTTAAGCGTCTGCCTTCTGGCCCAGGGCGTGATTTTGGAGTCCCAGAATCGAGTCCCACATCGGGCTCCCTGCTTGGAGCCTGCTTCTCCCTCTGTGTCTCTGCCTCTCTCTCTGTGTCTCTCATAATAAATAAATAAAATCTTTAGAAAAAAAAGAAAAAAAAACAATTTGTATATCTTATGTGGGATCATTTATAAATGTTTTATAAGTGAGCATGAATTATGTTTTCTGTGTACCCTGCCATATCTCTAGCATCTGGCAAATGTCTGTCATATGAAGTGTTCAAAAAATGATTTTGCATGAAAGAATATAGTGCCTTCTGACAGTGCAATTTCCTGTTGTCTCACAAAGCTTCTGTGGTGTTCAGCTTTATAATAACCTCAACATTCTTGATTGTATAGTTCAGAATAGATGAGCCTTGGAACTAATTTCAAAGTTTAGGTTTGTTTTCTGAATTCAGGAATCATATAAAGATTATCCCTTACATACTGCTAACTAATAATGATCATATCATGTCATATATCATTGCATATATTTACTTTTACACTTACTTGACTCTAAACGCAGGATGCAAGCAACTCAGTGATGGTATTTTTCCACTAAATTTTATATTCTGAAAACAAAGTGTTTTTTTCCTGAAATTTGATTCTATGTGGTGGCAGCTGCTCATTGACCATTGTTGAAAGAATGAATGAGAATCTGAATCTGAGTATGTCCTTTATCATCTATACTTTTCCTTAAAAAAATTAAGCCATTTCACCAAAATGATGTTAACATTTGAACAATTGTTAACTTACTAAACCCCTACGCCTATTAAAATATTTCAAACTTAATATCAGAATAAACATTAATTTTCAAATTTAGCTCAACATACTCTGGAAAGATTAATACGTTACCTTCGTGTCTATTGTGGTGGTCTGGTCCTTTCTTTTTGAAAGAGAGAAGTAGCTTTAGAAATACTTTCCTTTTCTTTAAGTAGCATCAATTCCTTGAGAGATTGGACCACATCGACCACATCTCTCTCAATCCTAGAAATAGGTGGGAGCAGGCCATATCACATCAGAATCCAAAGTGACATGTATGGGCTTATTATACATGTCTATGAAAGTTTCTGGATCCATGAATTGTTCAGATTTGCACAAGTACTTTATTATTTGTTCTGGGATGAGCAGTTCAGGTGCAATTTGGTGCAAGTTATCCCCTGGTCCTTTAGCACCCACTTTAACAGTCTTTAAAAGGTGGAGTGCCAGTTTATGAGTCTGAGTGAGAAACTCTGTGATGACCTCCTCTAGGGACTGTGTCTGTGTCACATCATCAAGATACATGACTGGAACTTTCATTACTGAAACATGCCATTGCATGAAAAGTCTTGTTGGGATGTTATGGGATGCAACTATAATTTTCATTCCTTGGATAAAAAATTCTGTTTCATTCTGTTTATGGTTAAGATAATCTAAAAGAATTCGGTAAAGGGTACCACTGGAGGTCTCAAGGATATGCAGAATAGAAGTAGGATATACAAGCAAAAACCCTGTCACTGCTTCTCCTAGGTGATGTTTTAAAATTGACTGAAACACTTGCTCATAATAGTCAGAAATATCTTTTTTTTCTGTATTCGCTGTTATTGTGGCCACTAGAAACATCCTATGAAGAAGGAATTTCTTTAGCTGTAGTCTTTGCTTCTCTTCCTGAAGATGAAAGTAATTACCACGTGGAATTTGTGGCATTAGAAGTGATTCCACTGGAAAAGTCCTTTTGTTGGTCTTTTGGATATGGCCTGGGAAAGCCATGATGGGTCCTATTTGTTCTTCCAGATGACTTCAGTTTTAGCCCATCACAATGTTTACATTATAAGGACATCTCTTCAGGGGTGAACTCTTGTATTTCTTCTTACCCAAAAAAAAAAAAAAAAAAAAAAAAAGTTACTATTTTGTCAAATACTAGTGAATAATAATAGCCTAGCAAAATCCCTTCCCAGTATTATCAACAATACCGTCTTTGAAATACAAGAGAATGCTAAAACAAGATTCAAATTATAGAGATTGTTTAAAAGTTTACAACAAAATAACATTCACATCATAGAAAAACATTCTAATACACTGGCAAGTGGGGAGAAGAAAGAACATACTATAGAGCAGGTTAACTCTGTTTTTGTTTGCATTATTATTTTCTCCTTCAACTTATAGTAAATTTTTTCTCAGCTCCCTTTCTTGAATCACACGTGTGCCTGTGCATGCGTGTGCACACACATATGCACCCATACACATACGCACACAGGAATGTATCTGCTAACAGTCACTCACCGTAGCATTGGCATCACATTAAAATGTCTTTTTATATATGTAACTAATTACAGATTGTCCTTGATTTGTCAATTTTTAAAAAAGTGATATTTTCATGGTAATTCCTCCTTTTTAAAAATTTTAACTGGCCAACTAATTTTTTAAAATCTGGGGAATTCTCAAGTCCTAATTGGCTTACTTAATCTTTACTCAGTATACAAAAAGTTAATACTGTGGCTTGTTATAATACTGTTATTAATAAGAGTAAAATTTTGGAATAACTAATTTTGATTTTTTTTTTTCCTATCAACAAACATCAGAAGTGGCTCTTTTTCCTTCCTTTTGTTGTTGTGGGTATCAGATAATAAATTCTGTTACTTTTAACTTACTCTTCTTACAAATTTCTTTTTGTTTCCTCCAGGTCACCTTAACATTTCTCTCCTTCTTCAAGTTTTTCTTGCTTTTACCTGTCCTCGAGGTTCCACTTATCCTCCATCAGTTTTCCAACTGCCAGTGTCCTGGGTCCTGCCAGTTGTCCTGTGTGTTCTATTCTTGTTTCCATGGTGCCCTCGTGAATCAGGATGTCAGTGGTGTTAAAGGGCAGCACACGAGGGCAAGTGCCATTTCTTAATTTAATGAGGATATCACTCAACAGATACCTCAACATCACAGTAGAGAAATGAGGGCTTCTTTTGTGGAATGGCTTATTTGTAGCCTGGGGCCTTTGTAAGTCAGACAGATGGTTGACCTAAACATCATACTCTTTTCTTTTTTCTTTTTGTCCACAGTTTATGGAAGAGGAGACTAAAGCATGGAGTAGTTACATACCTTGCACACAATTCAAATGTCCTTTCAGCAGCCTCTCTAGTCCACCTAGGACAGTGGAGTATTGATGCATTAATTAAATACTTTAAAAGCACATGTCAGATTCTGTGTAATGGTGACTCTGTTTTAAGAAAATTCTTCTATGGGGCACGTGGAGGGCTCAGTTGGTTGGGCATCTGCATTCAGTTCAGGTTGTGTTCCCGGGTTCCTGGGATCAAGCTCTCTGCTTAGAGGGCAGTCTGCTTCTCCTTCTCCCTCTTTGTACTCTCACTCTCTCTCTCAAATAAATAGATGAATCGTTTTTAAATTCTTCTATGAGGTTTTCTTAATTTAATGTAAATTTAAGTTAGTTTTTATAATAAAAATAAATAATACCATACCTTAAAATGGCATTCATGTGAGCTGTAACCATAATTTTAGAACAAGATTAGAAAACACCCTTATTCAATCTTTAAAAAGTAAACCTTACAGCAGTCCCTGACCAAGATTTGTGTTATTCAAACTTATGATCTGGTTTTAATGATATACAGTAATGAGTTATCCCAAAAAGTGGAGGCTGAGATATGACTTAATAATTCCTTAATTGTGTGGTACATAAAAACTGAGTAATTTCTCATGGGGTTCACTTCATCACTCTCTGGAATGATAGTCTTTCCCAAAGCATACAGGAACTTGTCACTGCTTAGTCTAGGGCTTGTTCTCAGTCTCATTCTTCTTGCTTTGCAGAATGTGATTCTGTTGACCACAACCGCCTTCTTTCCTCCATTGGTTTCTGTGACTCTGGACCTGCCTGAATTTCTTCCCAAATCTCTATTTATGGCCTTGTTCCTTTCCCTCTCACACTTAGCTCTGGGTAAAGCTGAGGCTCTGTGCTCATCGTACAGATCTCTTATTCTCCCTCTGTGCCCAAGTAGTTTAGCACCATCTTTTGTGAGGGCAGGTGACTGGTCCTTGATGTCACTCTCACCTCCAAACTTAATGACTGACCTTGCTGATTAATCATGAAGGCTTCCCTGCTGAGGCCAGCCATGGACTTGGACTCTCTCAGTCTAAGGCTCAAAGCAGATACTGTTAGTTTATGTTGACAAAGAAGAAAAGACTAACTTGCCATCCCAGTATTTTTCTGCATAGAGGACTCCTAAATTGTAATCCTATTTATAACTCTTTTTCTTGGATGTACCTCTACCTTTTCAATTTAAAATGCCAGCATTTTAACTATGATTTTCTGTATATTTCCCTTACAAGCACATCATTTGTGTCACAGTTACACATTTTTCACTTATCTCCTACACCAACATCCTTGGTCTATATCTTTCCCTATATGTTATCTCTCAACTCTATTCTGTCACTAGGTCTTTTTACTTTGAAATGTATTGAGGATTCTTGATTTCTTTACAGTTATTGCTCTTTATTTGGATTATAATCAGAATCTCCTGTCCTCAGTGTTTTTGCACCTCACTTGTCCAGCTGAGAGCATGAAACTTGAAGACCTATTACACATCTGCTTTGTAAAGTTCAGGAACTACTTATTTTATGAAGTCCTTCCTGTTTATCTCCCCTCCATAGAATGCTAGGAGAGGGCACTTCTCCCCTTCCCAGGTCCATAGCAGTTCCTGGCACTTACTTTCATTGCACAATGATGGGTTATAACAGAGAAGATGGGGACATGCAGCTATAGGGTTTGGTAACCTAATATTGACTTTGCTCAAAGTCAGTGGGAGACTTTATAGGGCATTGCTTCTCGGAAACCCTTTTTGAATGCACAAATTTAAATTTAGCATTTTATATATAGATATGAGTTTCTTCTTCCTGACACTGTTCTTACTTATAGTGCAATTTTTCTATCTTTTTGCCCCTATAAAAGGGAGCTCAGTTGTGATTTATCTCTGCATGTGCATTATTTCCCTTCTCTTTCATATACCTTGGTTCCTCCAATATAAACCTAATAGAAAAATGACAATCTTTCATCATTATAATTCCCCATGTAAACCTTGCAAAATATCACTGAGCTCTTCTTTCTTCAAAAGAGTGATGATATCGTAATTAGTATTGCCTTGGAACATATGAAATTGTCATTTCTATAAGTTAAAAACTGATATTGACAACTATTTCATGTTTTAATTTTTTATTCCAGTGCAATTTACACTGTTATATTAGTTTCAGGTGTGTAATATGATTCAACAATTCTGTATATTTCTTAGTTTCATGCAGTTCAACTGAATACATTTCGAATCAGTAGTTTTTACCATCATAGATAATAGTTTGACCTATATCTTCCCCATGTATCTTTCTATCTCTCAATACATGTTTAGTTGTTGCTTTTACGATTTTGTTTCATGGTCATGTCACATTTAAAGGCAGCTTATCTTTTTTCTTGCCTTTCATCAACCATACTCTTCAGTCAAGAGTAAAGTTTTGAGCAGATAGGAATAGAAACACACAGTTTGGACTGTGTGTGTGTGTGTGTGTGTGTTTTGCTGTACATGTAATGATAATTGTACAAGCTCCTTTTGGTGGATACTCAACATTTGAATTTTCAGATGCCACAGTCCTGTGTTCCATTGATTAAGGGACAGTTATTTATCTTCAGGTGGCAACTTAAACAGAACTCCTCTATTCATCGCACAGAATAGAAAGAGATAGGTGGGGATACCTGGGTGGTTCAGGGGTTGTCTGCCTTTGGCTCAGGGTGTGATCCTGGGATCTGGGTTCGAGTCTCATATCAGGCTCCTTGCAGGAGGCCTGCTTCTCCTTCTGCCTGTGTCTCTGCCTCTGTGTGTGTGTGTCATGAATAAATAAATAAAAATATTTTTAAAATAAAAAAAAGAAAGATAGGTGTTTGTTCTCCCCGTGTGATCTATTAGATAACCGAGTTCAAACAATGGACAAGTGACAGAACCTGAGTGGGAACCTACAATGTTGAGGAGTCTTCTTTCAGATTTTCTACCTATCTGACGCTCTTGTTGTCCAACATCTCATATAAGTATGCAGCATGTATTTGGACTCGTGTCAAGCACCCATCTTGCTATTTACTATATACTATATGCTCTGTTTTATTTTCTGGAACCAGATGTTTCTGAATAACAGACTCCCTGTGTTATCTTTTTAAAGCAGAAAGAAAGGATTAAAAAGATTAAATACCATTGATTGGTTATTTACCATATGCCCTATGCTAGATGCTTTTACACATATTAATTAATTTAATCTTCACAACAGTCCTATAAGGTCAACAAAAATTTTACCCACGATCAGTAGAAGAGGAAACTAAAGCATGGGTTATTTAAGTGCTTTACACATTGGTTCAGACATGCTCTCAGCAGCCTTATCACTCTGTCTACCTAGGGTAAAGAGCAGATAAATTATTCCCTTTGTGTCCATGCCCACATGGCATTCTTTGCTTCTTTATGACAGAGCAATTTTTCTGGAAATGGAGGATACCTTGTGGTTTGGATAAAGGAAATTGAAAACTCTTACCTCATACTTGTAATTCAAAATTGATTTACTGTCTTTATTCTCTCATTCATCTCAGATTTCTGTACACCTTTGGTGAGCCAGGTCGTATCATGTGCATTGTAAGAAACGCAAACATGGAAGATACCTGGTCCCTAATTTGGGGAGTTGAAAGTCTAGTAATGGGTGTTGAGATATCCATGAATGACTATAGGGCAGGGGAAAACATCATA